ATTTATTATTGTTTATAATTTTTCTAATTTTTTTATTTCCATCTGTTGTTTTTACATTTCTGTCTCCTGTTTTTATTTTACTTTTTGCATTTCTGCCTCATTATGCAAATAAAGTGGGCGGGGCTTCTTTGGTCAGCTCCTCTCCTATTGGTCGACAGACAGGAAGTAGAAGGATCCAAGTGCAGATTGATGATGCCTCAGTTTAAAGTTGAATTAAAAACAAAACACAGGTGTTTTTCTCCTTGCCCATTGCTTTAAACTTCAAAAAGAGAAATTTGGATGATTTTTTAAATTTAATTGGTGTATTTAAAGTGTATTTATTTATTTAATGGTCCATTTATCCATATTTCTGTCAGCATCAGTCCTCCATTATTCATGTCTAAAACTTTTGAAGAGAGCTCAGTTCCCGACGGCTGCCACAGTTATTAGTTTGATGACGTAATGACAGAGGGTCAGGATCAGGAMCAGCTCTGCAGCCGGACCAACATGAACACAGGTTTTAAAGAAGTTCATAAATCCTCAGCTGTCAGAGCTCAGTCCAGCAGAAAGTCTCACCTCCTCTCAGGCCGTCCGGATCAATTAGTCTCCTCCTCGCCGTCGGCCTGTCTGCCCCCCCGTCTTTCTTCCTGTCGACCGAGTGCAGCAGCAGCTCGGGCAGAGTGCCCTAAACCTCTGAAACCATCCTGCCGCAAACACACTTTGAGCCTGCGAAAGGAAGTGGAGAGGCTGCCAGAGATAAAGTGGAGGGCCGCAAACAAATGGAGCAGCTGAGCTCATTAACGGGGGGGATCAGCATCCTGCTGGAGGCATGACATCATCCACATCCAGCTCACTGATCTGACTACGTAAAGAAAATACAAGTCTAAAAGTGAAGATGAAGGTGGAGTTTGGTCTGAAACGGTGTCAGATGGATCCATGTTTTACTTTCTTCAACTTCAGGTTCAGTTTGTTACATTCTGGGTTGCAGAAACAAACATTTTAAATCACTGAGCAAAACCTTAGTTGTAGCATTTAAAGAAGTTTAATTTATTTAGTTTAAACTTAGAAAATCAGACTTTAATTCAACCTGAACAATCAGGTCAAAAACATGAAACATTTAGTTTTACAGTCAGTAAAGTTTTTTTAATTAAACAAGAATAACTTTGTTTTTATTCTATCTGTAGTTTCAGAATCAACATGTTTATAAAATCATGTCAGAAGAGTGATTCTGTTCATCTGATGACTGAAAGTTCTTCTTTTAGARGAATCAGCTAACGCTCAGATCAGAGATGAGCTGATTGATGACTTTAACTTTTATTAAATAATAATAATAATAATTAAGTCCAGTTTTCCTGCAGGAGGTGGTTTAAGTCTGTCAGAGCTTCAGCTTCCTCCTCAGAACATCACCTGGACCCTGAAGTGTTTCTGCTTGGTGGCGTTGTTGCTCATGCCCACCTTCAGCATCCACCTGGACTTCATCCTCTGGACGTACTGCATGTCCTTCTGGGTCTGATGGGACGAGCCAGAACCTGTGGGGGACAGAGAACGGAGGATTTTAACTCGGTCAGGACGGAGGAAACACAACTGGATCAGTCAGGACCAGCACGAAGACCCAGCTGTTTCATTAGAGGGCTTCCAGCTGCACAAGGTTTATATTTGACACAACTAGGGATGCACGATAACTTATTTTAAAAACCGATAACCTTCTCCTTCTAACGGCCGAGAACCCATAATAACCATTGGTAAGAATGGTAAACTGTGGCTAACGATGGTAAACTGTGGCTAACGATGGTAAACTGTGGCTAACGATGGTAAACTGTGGCTAACGATGGTAAACCGCGGCTAACGTTGGTAAACCGTAGCTAACGATGGTAAACCGTGGCTAACGTTGGTAAACCGTAGCTAACGATGGTAAACCGTAGCTAACGATGGTAAACCGTGGCTAACGATGGTAAACCGCTTCTAACGTTGGTAAACCGTAGCTAACGATGGTAAACCGCGGCTAACGTTGGTAAACCGTGGCTAACGTTGGTAAACCGTGGCTAACGATGGTAAACCGCGGCTAACGATGGTAAACCGCGGCTAACGTTGGTAAACCGTGGCTAACGTTGGTAAACCGTGGCTAACGATGGTAAACCGCGGCTAACGTTGGTAAACCGTAGCTAACGATGGTAAACTCTGGCTAACGATGATAAACCGTGGCTAATGATGATAAACCGTGGCTAACAGGTGATAAAAGCTTCAGTCTTTAGCGAGGGTGAACGGCTGCTTGTCAAGCTCCATCATTTCCATCGTTAAATTCTTGAGATCTGCATCCTCTCTGACAGTTTTATTGGATTTGTCCAAAACCTCAGCAATGATTGAGTCCTGATGAGTTCTTGAACGCTAGCTTGTAGCTGTTAGCATTTTAGCAGACTGACTTTGTGCTGCGTTCAGGAGGTAACGGACATTACATGTTCTCAAATTGGGAGTAGTTGTTCCGATCTTTTTATATTCATAATTATAAAGTTTGTGTGTAACATTCAAGGTTAAAATAATATTAATAATTATTAAATTGACTGGTTGTTTTTCAGCACGGATTATTCTAATTATTGTTCTAGTTAGAAAGTTGTTTATTCTGACGCCACTTGAACGTTGCTCGGGTCGTGCTGGACAGYAAGCGGCTTGACCAAAAAGGATAAAAATAAACACACATTCCCATCGCTGCGCTGACAAACATGTACACATATCATCGGTTCTGGTTGTTATATCGGACCYATAAGTATCGTGCGCCCTTGGACACAACATAAGAACAGTCCTGTAACTGCAGACAAAGCAGATCAAACAGATATTTCTGCTGAAGCCTCACCTCGGTCGCCCCCCCAGCCCAGAGCTCTGTACTGCCGCAGGACTCGGCCCACGGCGTTCCTGTTGTGYCTCAGGGCGACGGCGCGCTGCGTCCCAAACCTCTGCTTGTAGTACCTCATGAGGGAGCGATGGCCGATCTTTGCTCCTGAAGACACAGAGACAAACAAACTGAGTCCTGATCAGACGACTGGAGTCCAAACCTCAGGGTAAATAAACACCTGAGGGAAGCGTCAGCTCCAGCAGCTCGTCGTCGTACTCCAAACRCTTCTCATCAGGCAGCTCCTCATCATTGTCATCCTCACCCTCCTTGCTGTCAGGATAGCTGCTCCTGTTAGAAACAAGTTTTAATCAAACGATATAAAGGGTTAAATCTCACCTGCTCCTGAAAGAAACGCTCGTTAAAAACAACCTGAAGTCGTAGAAATCTGCGAACTCCAGAGCAGCGTCTCCGTCTGTGAAGAGCTTACAGTGACTTTTATCTGTCATGTGACTCTGAACGGCTTCTGTGGAGTAAAACGAGCGGCCCTTCTCGTTACACCACAAACACACGTTCCCTGCACCGACCTTCTCTCCTGCAGCAAACACACACACAAACACACACACAAACAAACACACAAACAAACATTACAGCTGGACTCTAAACCCAAACCGAAGACAACCAGGTTTTCCACAGATATGAGTTTTAATCTGAACCAGTTCTCTCACCGAGGTACCGGATCAGACCCCTCAGGTCCACGAGGAACTCCAGGTCCGGGATGAAGAAGCTGTGGACCTTGGTCATGTGGGCCACGTTCTTCAGGAGCGACTTGGAGTGGTGGGAGCAGAACAGGCAGTCTGTGACGGGGACGGACCCAGGCAGAGGGGCCGGTCTGGTGTCAGATGGACCTGCAGAGACCCCTTCCTCCTGATCCATCGTCTCCTCTTCTTCATCGTCCATGTCAACATCATCATCATCAACGTCCTCCCAGTCATCTGAGAGGTGAAACTTTAGTCAACTTCCATGAACATATACCATGATGAAACATTTCAGAACTCATTTATTTTTATTATTAGTTATAAAAAAACTGATTTAAAGCATTTTTAARTTGCATTTAATTTAATTTGATATTTAAAACAGTAAAAACTGATCTGGAAGTCATAAGAACAAATGAATTACCCTCCTCAGCTGTTGCTCCTTCTTCCGTCTCTCGCCTCTTCACCTGCTCCTCCAGCCACATCACCCGAGGAGGTTTTTCTGGTTTTTCTGGTCTCTCTGGTTTCTGTGAGGTCTGGACCTTCCTCTGCTGGTCCCTCAGGACCTGCTGCAGGGCCTCGTTCCTCGTGTCGTTGTCTTCCTTCTCGTCTCCGAGTCCCTTCTCCAGGTTCTTCTGGTTCATCTCCTCCACCCTCCTCTGGGCGCTGAGCAGCGCCTGCTTCTCGGCCTGCTGGTGTTTGTGGGACTGCAGGTGGTTCTGGAAGGCGTTGGCGCTGGAGAACCTCTTGCTGCAGACGGAGCAGCTCTCGGTGGCCGAGGCGTCCGTCAGCTGCTGCTGGGCGGCCACCCGCTGGGCCAGGACCCGCTCCTGGAAGTTCTCGGCGGTGACGGGCGGCATGTCGGCCACTTTGCGCTTCAGGTTGTAGCGGTGCCAGTCGGTTTTGTAGTGAGCTCGCTGCACCTCGCCGTCTGCAAACGCCACTCTGCAGCTGATGCAGGTGTAGGAGGACATGATGACCTGAGGATAACAAGAGATGTCAATGAATATCACTGTTAGACTCTTTAGGGATGTTGACGTTTCCTCAGCAGCTGCTGCCATTTRCTTCCCAAACTGCTGTGACCAGATTGTGCAAGGCTGTAATTTCCCCCTGCTTCGTTATTTCTACGAATTTCAACAAATCGAGCTGCCGTCAGGTAGTTAGCTACAGCCTCGTCTTCCAGTTTTTAATTTTTGTTGATGTGTTTTGAAGAGACCATTTTTTGAAAAGCAGATCAAAGTAAATCACCTGAGTTTTTCTAGTGACCCTTAAATAGATAAGCTGCCATGAAGAACATTATTTTATCTGCCCTTCTTCCTAATTTGATAATGATTTGAAACGTCGAAGTATGTTTTTTTTATCCAGAACAGCGCTTGTTGCAAAGTGTTTTAATGCTCGTCTTCGTCACCTGACACATTTAACACGCTGTCATTGGTTGAGGAGCTTTGTTTACAACATGTCCACATGG